CGCCGGTTGGGCCGCGGTGCCGCCGCCTCACGAGGGTTTCGCCGCTGCAGTGGTGGTGCTTGATGGTGTTAGTTCCCCCTTATCTCCCCCGGGGAACGCTGAAGGTTCGGAGGAAAGCCGCACTTCAGCAGACCAGATTCAAACGTTTCTTCCAGATAGACGTATACGGTAGCACGTGCATCTCTGCTTTACCTCGGGTCGTGGTCTCGTACTTGCTGTGCAACAAAAATGCAATTAACACAGTGGATAGACTTGAGATACTCATGACTGTTATATCCTGAAAATTCTCACGCCAGTGTTGTACTTCTACTCTGGGTGGTCCTTGACATGTTGGATCCTTCTGTGCTATTAGAATTACCTTAGTACCTGTCTGTGCCAACGCTACTTACGCTTTGGTTTTAAATGGCTGCCCTGTCGGTAGCAATGAAGATTACTCTTACGTGCTCAAGAAATAAGCAATAATAAGAACTGAGAATGCGTTTGTACATAAGAGCTATATCCTATTAAAAGGAGATAGCAGAGTACGAGAATGGAAAGGAGCAGCAGAAGCAAGCGTACAGCGCTCCTTGTGTTCAGCTAGCCTCCAGTCACTTTCAACTCAGAGTCTTCCTTGAATGTATGTAGTCATAATTATTTACAAATTTTCCGTGCCCGGTTTTCTGCTCATCCTATGTAAATTTTTAGTGCTGAAAACATCGTTTGACAAAAGAGCTTTTCAGCCCAACCACCTGTTACCCAAAGAACTGCTTCCTTTGATTCAAGCCAAGCCCCTACAAAGTTAATCTGATGCCTCCCAAGTTCTTGTTTTAAATCTTTTCTAAAAAGAAAGAGTTGATTGAGATCCTGTGTAAGCTAAGTTAATAGAATAGGGATATGGGAGAGGAAATCAAAATAGATTGTTTTTACTTTCAGCTGAATATTGAGCACTGTGTAGTATTTAAATGTATGTTCAAAATTTTTTAATATTAAATGTTACAAAGCTACTAAAAAGCTGTATATTTTCCTTCCCAGAAATGCTTAAAAGGCATTGACAGAGCAGTTGCGTGTTACTGTCGCCTTCTGAAACCGTTAAGTGTTTTCATTCAAACGCCTATTTTTTATTGTCCAGTCTTTTGTGGTACACTCTAAACAGACTGTTTTTTTTCTCCTTACAGTTTGACCTGTAGAAGAAAATAGTTTATCCTTATGTTTTGAAAAGGAAGAAAAAATGATTTAACTGCTTTAGGGAAATGGAGAATGTCACCAGTGGAAGTATTTGCATTAACAAACAGATGCATCAAGGGCATTTAACCATACAGAACTGCAAGGGAGAATACACGGCCGTTCCCTCAGGTTCAGTTAGTGTTTGCTAGTTAGATATACATGATTGAGAAAGGTTACTTACTGATCTGGTCAAAACTTTATTGTTTTAAAATGTGTGTAAATGTCTGTAAGAGGAGATGACTTCACGGTCCCTGAATTTTGAAGTCCTCCAAAGCAAGGTGAGCTATGGTCAATAATACTTGCCGCTTTGTACTTCATTACAGTGGAGGACTGTTTTAATTGGGTTTCTGAGCAATTAAGACTGTAGTTTCACAGACCCATGAAATTGTTAGCCAATACTGCTGCTGAAAGAAATAAACCCCTAGGAAAAAAAATTACTTTTTATCTGGATAGGTTCCCTGGCTTGATTCACTCTATGTGGCCTTACAAACACTTAATGCTGGCACGGAATAAGTGGACTGGCTGTTTTACACTGGTATAAACCCCTGCTTCTGCTAAAAACTTATGTGAAAGGATGACTTTATTTTCTAAGGCTGGTCAGTCCATATACTGTATGCTGCAGTTGCCAACCAAATAATAGTTACCACATACTTAAAACATCCCTTGTATTAAAATTCTCAAAGCATTTTAAAAAGAAATATAATTATCTCTTTTTTTTTTTTTTTTTACATAAAGAAGTCAGTGTACAAGGTGATTTTTTTTTTTTCCCCCTAGGCCATATGATTGAATTGGTGGTAGACTCTAGGTCTCCTGATTTACAGATTAAGTATCATCTTAATTTGACCTGGAGTTCTCCTGTGGGTGTTATATTTGTTTATCTCAGCTACCTGCAGGGTGATTGTAAAGTGAATTTGGTGAAACACCAAATAAAATTATGGTTAAAACATATAGGTGAAAAACAAGTGTTTTCTCTTGGATTAAAGTCCTGTGGAAAGTGTTAAGAGAAAGAACTTACATATGGACATTTTTTTTACTACTCTCATTTGATACTTGTCTGACACAGGATGGATACTAACTATTTTATCTAGATTACCTGCCAGTGGTGAGCTAGTGATTAGTCCTAATTTTGACTGAATTTGAACAAGTAATCTAAATCACTAAGCCTCTAAGCTATTCAGCCTTATTGTTATGTGCTGTGGGGTGAACTTATGATAATGTTTTGCTTCTCTGGGGGTGGTAATTCTTTTCAGTGTTATTAGTATGTATACTCACACACTTTTGTGTACTCAACACATGTGTTTTTCAAAACAGATGCCTTGAAAAGAAAGGAAACTTCCCTAGCAAAGCTAAATTCCAGTGAAATGTTCTAAACAAAGCTTTCTTTCCTCCCTTTTCTTTGGGGAAAAATGTTTTTAACCAAATATTGTCCATGTTGTTTTAAATTTTGCATGTGTTTAAGTGCTCTTGAAAGTGGCCAGGGTTAAATTACATTTTAATTTATCTCATGGCATGCTTTCTGCAGCGTCTAGACTAGTTACTCCTTTGAGCAAAACTCCACTGCTTATTACTAAATCTCACTTAGATGCCTGATGGTCTTTTCCTTAGTCAGTGAACATTAAAGAAATGTGTTACTGGACAGCAGAAAAAGTTCTAATATCACTATAAAATGACATTCTTTTAAAGTTTCAGGCTTACCACAGGTCAAAGAAAGCTTGTGGGTGCAGTCCCAGCACTTGAGATTTAGGGAATTCCATTAGAGAAACTGAATTATTTCTTAAGTGATTGGCCAAGGAGAAGGGGGTTAGGTTGCTATACCTTGTGTTCCTTTTTCTCCCTCCTTATTTATGTACTGTCCTTCTAAGCGCTCAAGTTTCACTCATTTATGGGTAGCGTGTTTATTTTATTCATATAATTTGCATGTGGATTAGAGGGTTCTTTTTCCTATTAACTTTTTGTCATATTCTTCCTCAATCACTGAATCAGTAGTAGGTTTATGACACTGCAAATATCATAAAAGTGAAACTTGGATGGAGGGATAGTGGCTTTTCTGTAGACTGTTAAAAGCTTTTTAGGCGCCTGTTCAATTCAGACGTCCAATATGAGAAACACCGTTGTCTACACACTACCTCTTTAAGAGAGAAGTGGTGCTTATAAACATCCAAGTCCTCAAAAAGACTCTTTCAGAAAACCAGGAATGCAAAATTTTAACACTTCTAGAAACAGAAACAAGAAAAAGCGTTTTTGCATTGTTACTTATTATACTGAAGGAACAGTATAAGTTAAGTTTTACCATTCTTTTAATTGCCATTGAAGAAAGGACAATGCTAGAATATGTAATTTTTGTATCTTGCACTGTCTTCCTCTATGGAAATGCAAAAAGTTTTATTT